ACTGAAATACCAGTAATGGCTTAGTGACTAAGGGACTAGTGATGTTACTGAAATACCAGTAATGACTCGGGGGCCGGCTTGTACTAAGGGACTAGTGATGTTACTGAAATACCAGTAATGACTCGGGGGCCGGCTTGTACTAAGGGACTAGTGATGTTACTGAAATACCAGTAATGACTCGGGGGCCGGCTTGTACTAAGGGACTAGTGATGTTACTGAAATACCAGTAATAACTCGGGGCCTGCTTGTACTAAGGGACTAGTGATGTTACTGAAATACCAGTAATGACTCGGGGGCCGGCTTGTACTAAGGGACTAGTGATGTTACTGAAATACCAGTAATGACTCGGGGGCCGGCTTGTACTAAGGGACTAGTGATGTTACTGAAATACAAGTATTGACACGGGGGCCGGCTTGTACTAAGGGACTAGTGATGTTACTGAAATACCAGTAATGACACGGGGGCCGGCTTGTACTAAGGGACTAGTGATGTTACTGAAATACCAGTAATGACACGGGGGCCGGCTTGTACTAAGGGATTAGTGATGTTACTGAAATACCAGTAATGACAGTCGCGGGAAGCTTGTACTAAGGGACTAGTGATGTTACTGAAATACCAGTAATGACTCGGGGCCGGCTTGTACTAAGGGACTAGTGATGTTACTGAAATACCAGTAATGACACGGGGGGCGGCTTGTACTAAGGGACTAGTGATGTTACTGAAATACCAGTAATGACTCGGGGGCCGGCTTGTACTAAGGGACTAGTGATGTTACTGAAATACCAGTAATGACTCGGGGGACGGTACTAAGCGACTAGTGATGTTACTGAAATACCAGTAATGACACGGGGGCCGGCTTGTACTAAGGGACTAGTGATGTTACTGAAATACCAGTAATGACTCGGGGGCCGGCTTGTACTAAGGGACTAGTGATGTTACTGAAATACCAGTAATGACTCGGGGGCTGGCTTGTGCTAAGGGAGTAGTGATGTTACTGAAATACCAGTAATGACACGGGGGCCGGCTTGTACTAAGGGACTAGTGATGTTACTGAAATACCAGTAATAACTCGGGGCCTGCTTGTACTAAGGGACTGGTGATGTTACTGAAATACCAGTAATGACACGGGGGCCGGCTTGTACTAAGGGACTAGTGATGTTACTGAAATACCAGTAATAACTCGGGGCCTGCTTGTACTAAGGGACTGGTGATGTTACTGAAATACCAGTAATGACACGGGGGCCGGCTTGTACTAAGGGACTAGTGATGTTACTGAAATACCAGTAATGACTCGGGGGCCCGCTTGTACTAAGGGACTATAATAATATAATATACTAAATTGATATAGCGCCTTAACTAATTCGTTAGGATTACACTAAAGCGCTTTACATAAAATAACATAAAGAATTAAGCATAAAAGTATATCGTTCATTATCCATCAATGGAAAATGTCCATCACAAAAAACCTAAAACATTAAAACTATGTCATACACTGTCTATCAATAGAAATCCTATCACAATTTAAAGGATGTTTTAAAAAGATGTGTTTTCAGTGCGGATTTAAAAGCAGACAAAGATTCTATGTTCCTCATGGAAAATGGAAGATTATTTCACAAGTGTGCTGCTGCTGTATCAAAGCAGCGGTGTCCATATGTGGTAGCCGTTGCTTTGGGGGAAATAAGCAATGCACCAGACTGTGACCTCAGTGTCCGAGTTGGTTTATAGGGACGTACAAGTTCCTTGAGGTACTCTGGTGAGTTCCCATGGAGAGCCTTAAACACAGTCATGAGCAGCTTATACTGACAGCAGTATTCAAACGGAAGCCAATGTAAGGATTTCAGCACAGGTGTTATATGGTCCCTTTTTTAGTTCTTGTAATGAGTCGCGCCGCAGTATTTTGCACTCTCTGGAGACGCTTAGCCAATGTACCTGGAATGCCATATAACAAAGCGTTCCCATAGTCCAGTCTGGATGTTACGAGTGAATGCACTAGAGTCTTGCAGGCATCAGTGGACAGAAATTGCCGAATACACCCGATATTCCTTATTTGAAAGTGGCATGACTTTGTTACAGAAGTCACTTGTTTTTCCATACTCAGAGAGCTATCCATGAAAACTCCAAGGTTCTTTACAAATGGGACAGCCCTGATAGAGTTGTTGCCAACTTGAACCTGGAATGCTGGAATGTTTTTCATTTTGTGTTTTGGAGTGAACACAATGACTCCCGTTTTGTCTTGATTCAGTTTTAACATATTCGAAACTGTCCATGAACTAATGTCTGATAGACATGCTTCCATCCGTGCAGATAGGTCAACCAAATTGTCAGTGGGTCTTATAACCATATACAATTGGGTATCATCTGCATAGCAATGATAGGACAGGTCGTGACGGCGACAAATATCTCCGATCGGTTTGGAGTAAAGACAGTACTTTCTTGGCCCAAGTACTGATCCTTGGGGTACACCAAAAGACAGTGTTCTATCCTTGGAAGTAGTACAGCCTATAGCCACATTTTGCCCTCTGTCAGTTAAGTAAGACTGTGTCCAGGAGAGTGCATCATTGGACACACCGTATGTATGTTCCAACCGCTTAAACAGTGTACCGTGATCAATAACATCAAACGCGGAGGATAAGTCCAACAGTACAAGAACAGCTGAACAATTGCAGTCCAACGCATTTGCTATGTCATGGTGTACCCTCAAAAGAGCAGTATCTGTTGAATGGAATGGACGGTAAGCTGACTGATGCTTGTCGTTAAGATGGTTTACATCGAGATGTGCTTCTAGACGCTTTGCCACTACCTTCTCCAGAATTTTAGACAGGAATGGCAGGTTTGATACCGGCCGGTAGTTTTTCATCACCTCCTTGTCCAAACCAGGTTTTTTTAGCAATGGCCGAATGATGGCTGTTTTAAAACAAATCGGTACCTTTTGCTCAACCAGAGACTTGTTAATGATAGCAGAAATCAGCAGGAGCAGGTGTTCCATACACTGTTTCAAAAGGTATGTAGGAATAGGGTCAAGTTCACAGGATTTGGAAGGCGCACTAATGATAATCTTGCGAAGTTCGTCAATAGATACCGGGTCAAACTATGTCAGATGTCCACCTTGAAATTCACTGTCTGATGACATAGAAACAGTATTAACATCCACCGAAGCATTCATCAAAGCAAGTTCATTTCTTAATGTGACAATTTTGTTTATGAAGAATGAACTAAACTGTTCTGATAAGTCTTCTTGAGACCCGCAACTTGGAAGAACAGTATCATGTTTCTAACCCATTATGCCTTTGGCAAGTTTGTGCAGTTGTTTATGATTATTGCGACAATGTTCAATCTTACTGGAGTAATATTCACGTTTGGTTTGAATAAGACGTTTGCTCACTTTTCGACACTGGTCTTTGTATAACTGATTGTGGATTGCAAGTCGTGTTCTCCTCCATAACCTCTCAGCTGTGCGCCGTTTCTGTTTCTCACCACGGAGTTTTTCATTATACCACGGGGTATTATTCCTCAATGTCACAACTTTAGAAATCAGTGGAGCATGTTTGTCAATGATGGTACTTATACCAGTATTGTAGGCATTTACGAGGTCATCCACTGTGCCATCTACAGACTGTAGAGTATGGGATGATTTAATATCCTCAATCAAATCTGCCATACAAACTGATTTGAATCTTCGAAATGAGACTTCTTTCCTGATTAGTTTGGGCTTTGAGACATTTAAGGAGGTACAAATAGCCAGGTGGTCACATATGATATTACCTTTGGAATCACTGAGATGAGGATCAAAGATGGATGGCACAGACAGATTGAGAGGACTTCCATCGCGTGTGATTACTACATCCAACGTGTGTCCATGGATGTGTGTGGCCCCTGTAACGTGCTGAACTAGGTTGTAGCCTTCCAAGAGACTCAAAAACCGACGGGCGTCGCCGTCGTTAGAGTCATCCAGGTGAAAGTTCAAGTCAACAGTTATAACAACATCCTGTGATATTGCAGCTTGGAGATCAAGATAGGAAGACCACTGTTCGAAAAACTGACTGTTTCGAAAGTCGTTCTTTTTAGAAGACGGTGGCCGATATATTACACAGAGTCTAAAATGTGAAGTAGAGCCAGCAGTTACTGAGTACTCTGCATGCTCAAAGTTAGTCCAGTCATTCTCATCTGGAGACACCACTTGCTTTAACACCAAATTGGACTTGTAAGCCACTGCGATTCCTCCTCCCCGTCTATGACGAGAGGAATGCAGGATGCTGTAACCAGTGGGCAGAAGTTCAGAAATTACACTCGAGTCTATTGAAGAGGTTTCAGTTATTGCCAAAATGTCTGAGTCATTAGATATCAATAGATCGCTAATGGACGATGCCTTGTTCTTAACAGAACGACAATGTTATCAGTTTCAGAGGGGAAGGCGATGGAACATGTCCATGATGTTTCCTTAGATATTTGAGGTTTCCATAATTGACAAGTCTTTGTTGTCCTGATGTCTTGGACCTTATGGAAACATGAGATGGTATAACACACACAGTATCATTAACATCAGATGTAGATGATGGTGAGAGGCCATGCTGTGTAATTAGGTGTACTAAGTTGTTTCTATTAACACCTGACTGCCTAATAACAGTGTTGATGGTGTTTTGGCCATTTGTAGTTATACAGGGTATTGTTCTTATAACTTTTCTGCCACCCTTGGAACCTCTCCTAGTGCGTGAGCAGAATTCACTGGTCAGGGTAGATGGAGATTTAGTAGCACACAGATTTAGTCTCTCAATAACATTCTGCCACGGCTGATTAGGCACATGCTTCACATGTCTCAGTGCTAACAATAGGCACCTGGTGTAGGTAAAAGTCATGGTCTGATAGTCACACTGTGGTCATATAGAGTATCACAGGAAATTAAAACAGTAGGATCACCATGCACCAATGTAGGTGTCTGCCAAATCAGGGTGATGTCTAATAAGTATATCTGGTACAAAACTTGAGTTTGTCAGGAGAGCAAAATGGGAGCAGCCTATCCAGCGCTAACCAGTACTCACTCACTAGTAATGTTACTGAAATACCAGTAATGACACGGGGGCCGGCTTGTACTAAGGGACTAGTGATGTTACTGAAATACCAGTAATGACTCGGAGGCCCGCTTGTACTAAGGGACTTGTGATGTTACTGAAATACCAGTAATGACATGGGGGCCGGCTTGTACTAAGGTACTAGTGATGTTACTGAAATACCAGTAATGACTCGGGGGCCGGCTTATACTAAGGGACTAGTGATGTTACTGAAATACCAGTAATGACTCAGGAGACGGTACTAAGGGACTAGTGATGTTACTGAAATACCAGTAATGACACGGGGGCCGGCTTGTACTAAGGGTAACGACTCGGGGCCGGCTTGTACTAAGGTACTAGTGATGTTACTTTAAAACCAGTAATGACTCGGGGGCCGGCTTGTACTAAGGGTAACGACTCGGGGCCGGCTTGTACTAAGGTACTAGTGATGTTACTTTAAAACCAGTAATGACTCGGGGGCCGGCTTGTACTAAGGGACTAGTGATGTTACAGAAATAACAGTAATGACTCGGGGGCCAGCTTGTACAAAGGGACTAGTGATGTTACTGAAATACCAGTAATGACTCGGGGGCCGGCTTGTACTAAGGGACTAGTGATGTTACTGAAATACCAGTAATGACTCAGGAGACGGTACTAAGGGACTAGTGATGTTACTGAAATACCGGTAATGACACGGGGGCCGGCTTGTACTAAGGGTAACGACTCGGGGCCGGCTTGTACTAAGGTACTAGTGATGTTACTGAAATACCAGTAATGACTCGGGGGCCGGCTTATACTAAGGGACTAGTGATGTTACTGAAATACCAGTAATGACTCAGGAGACGGTACTAAGGGACTAGTGATGTTACTGAAATACCAGTAATGACACGGGGGCCGGCTTGTACTAAGGGTAACGACTCGGGGCCGGCTTGTACTAAGGTACTAGTGATGTTACTTTAAAACCAGTAATGACTCGGGGGCCGGCTTGTACTAAGGGACTAGTGATGTTACAGAAATAACAGTAATGACTCGGGGGCCAGCTTGTACAAAGGGACTAGTGATGTTACTGAAATACCAGTAATGGCTCGGGGCCGGCTTGAACTAAGGGACTAGTGATGTTACTGAAATACCAGTAATGACTTTGTGCTGTGCTCTGTTTTTTCCTTTAACTAGTTGAACTAACGTGGGATTAACGTTGTGTTTCATGGCGTTTTGTAACTTATCAGATACACGATCATGTCATGTTAAGGAAATCATTGTCAGAAGTGAACGACACTATTCCAAAAACTGGCTTCTGTTCTAAATCTTCTGGCAGTTTTGATTTTTTTAGGAAATAAGAAAAATACGAATTAGAATGCTTTATCGGAACTAGATTTGACAAGGAGACAGACAGTGATAGATACAATGTACGGACGACAGATCAGCAGATAAAGGAGACAGACAGTGATAGATACAATGTACGGACGGTAGATCAGCAGATCAAGGAGACAGACAGTGATAGATACAATGTACGGACGGTAGATCAGCAGATAAAGGAGACAGACAGTGATAGATACAATGTACGGACGGTAGATCAGCAGATCAAGGAGACAGACAGTGATAGATACAATGTACGGACGGTAGATCAGCAGATCAAGGAGACAGACAGTGATAGATACAATGTACGGACGGTAGATCAGCAGATCAAGGAGACAGACAGTGATAGATACAATGTACGGACGGTAGATCGGCAGATCAAGGAGACAGACAGTGATAGATACAATGTACGGACGGTAGATCGGCAGATCAAGGAGAAAGACAGTGATAGATACAATGTACGGACGGTAGATCGGCAGATCAAGGAGACAGACAGTGATAGATACAATGTACGGACGGTAGATCGGCAGATCAAGGAGACAGACAGTGATAGATACAATGTACGGACGGTAGATCAGCAGATCAAGGAGACAGACAGTGATAGATACAATGTACGGACGGTAGATCAGCAGATCAAGGAGACAGACAGTGATAGATACAATGTACGGACGGTAGATCAGCAGATCAAGGAGACAGACAGTGATAGATACAATGTACGGACGGTAGATCGGCATATAAAGGAGACAGACAGTGATAGATACAATGTACGGACGGTAGATCAGCAGATCAAGGAGACAGACAGTGATAGATACAATGTACGGACGGTAGATCGGCATATAAAGGAGACAGACAGTGATAGATTTAATGTATGGACGACAGATCAGCAGATAAAGGCGACAGACAGTGATAGATACAATGTACGGACGGTAGATCAGCAGATAAAAGAGACAGACAGGTATAGATTTCCGCGTAGATTTTGTAGTGTAGAAAGTGTTTCTATCGATTTGTTGTTAGCACCGTCGAAAATGTCACCGTTTTTAAGCTTGGCCATCAAAATTACGTAACGTGTATGCTATTGTCTCCTATTTCCATCTATCATTTCATCTAACCAACACGATCGATAGAGGGACTTTACAGTCCCGGAATCGGAAGGCTTTATAAATCACTTGAGAGCAAATTTACTGGTCATGGTACAATGTATGCGCTACCCAGACAGTAATAGTGTACAAATCGAAATGAAAACAGCTACAGGGTCCTGGTAGTGCGTGTTTGCTTGGTCTTCTGAAAAATAATGTCTTTATACAGTGTTTTCAGACTGGCCGACTGACGAATGTCAACATGACATGATCCACATCAAGAAATCATCAGGAGACATCATGACTGATACCACATCCGGAGACAGAAAATCATCAGGAGACCTCATGACGGGTACCACATCCGCAGACAAGAAATCCTCAGGAGACATCATGACGGGTACCACATCCGCAGACAGGAAATCATCAGGGGACATCATGACTGATACCACATCCGGAGACAGAAAATCATCAGGAGACATCATGACGGGTACCACATCCGCAGACAAGAAATCATCGGGAGAGATCATGACTGATACCACATCCGGAGACAGAAAATCATCAGGAGACATCATGACGGGTACCACATCCGCAGACAAGAAATCATCAGGAGACATCATGACGGGTACCACATCCGGAGACAGGAAAATACCACAGTACCACATATGGTGACGGGTACCACATGCTGTTACGGTACCACAGTATATTTCGAAGTTCGATGTTGATATTAAGATTGCTCCATTTCCCTTTCAGGCAGAGTGCATATGAACTCAAAACGTCACCAAGATGTCGGGGACATTACGTATCAACTATCATTGAGTACGAGACCTTATCGAGTAGGGAGGCACAATATGGAAAGTGGAGTATATTTGGCAGAAAAAATCATACTGAAAAATAATATAAACCTGCGTAGTGTTTATTCAACATTTCCATATCTCATGTTTTCAACAACGCCATTTTAGCGGAATATTTCAAACGATCCAATGAATAATATGTACTAAACCCGTCAGTTTGGTAAATTGCATGTATGCAATGACATAGGTCTCTTAATGACCATAAGCTAACATTGAGGTATTTACTGTGTATCACTACTTGACTGTAGCTGAAAAATAAATAAAACTTCACAATCGACACATTTCCAGTATTTTTTACGCGTTTTCTTACAGAATTAACGGTCATTTAGTCCATCGCCAAAAATCGTACCGTTTCAGCGTCACGGTGACCAACTCGTTACGAATTTTCCTACACAGTTTGGCAGTAACGTAATGTAATTCTTGGTAATTATCGTCACTTCGGGAGACCTCGGTATTTTTACTAACTGACACAGTTTTTTTTCCTCCGAGAGGTTCTATTTGCAGATGAGCACCTCCTATACGACCACGTGACAATGATTGATGTTTTCTTGTCCATTATAAACCACTTTCCTAGAGAATGTAGAATTCTCCCATGTTAAAATGTTTTCAGTAAAGACAAAGAAATTTTTATTGAATCCTTTTAACTTTTTTCAACAAGAGCTTTGTTGATTCCTTTTCAGGATCGATACATGTCAGTATTACCCCGATAAGCATTACGTCGTTCCTTGGCCTCGTTTCCGAGTATTTTTCATTGTTGATGAGTCACAAGCATTTTAAGTAAAACAAATAACAATATATATATCAGTTGGCAGAAACGATAGTATCTAACGCAAGTCGGAATTTATGAGGAAGGCAACAAGCAAACACGGAGCTCAAAGTCAAATGACATTTCTAATTCGAACAGGTAAAGGAAGGCCGATAAAGTGATAAATATTTGAGTTTTTAATTCATGACATCGGGATGCTACATCTAGGTCAAATCTCAGTCATATCACGTTCTCAATGTAACAGCCGGGTAAGTGACGATTAAACAATATATCAGATATATTTGATTAAAATCATATCGTACAGGAATTTTACAATGGTATCGCAATGGCGTTCATACATCTCGACAAAAAGTGTCGACACCAGGTGTTGTAAAATTTCGAGGATTTTATAAAATTTTCATTGCCCTGACCTACTAATCGCTAAGGCACATTTTCATAAAATAGTAACGATTGGTTAACACTTCAAACAAAATAGTAACGATTGGTTTACACTTCAAACAAAATAGTAACGATTGGTTAACACTTCAAACAAAATAGTAACGATTTGTTAACACTTCAAACAAAATAGTAACGATTGGTTAACACTTCAAACAAAATAGTAACGATTGGTTAACACTTCAAACAAAATAGTGACGATTGGTTAACACTTCAAACAAATAGCTACGATTGGTTTAACACTTCAAACAAAATAGTAACGATTGGTTAACACTTCAAACAAAATAGTAACGATTGGTTAACACTTCAAACAAAATAGTAACGATTGGTTAACACTTCAAACAAAATAGTAACGATTGGCTAACACTTCAAACAAAATAGTAACGATTGGTTAACACTTCAAACAAAATAGTAACGATTGGTTAACACTTCAAACAAAATAGTAACGATTGGTTAACACTTCAAACAAAATAGTAACGATTGGTTAACACTTCAAACAAAATAGTAACGATTGGTTAACACTTCAAACAAAATAGTAACGATTGGTTTACACTTCAAACAAAATAGTAACGATTGGTTAACACTTCCAACAAAATAGTAACGATTTGTTAACACTTCAAACAAAATAGTAACGATTGGTTAACACTTCAGACAAAATAGTAACGATTGGTTAACACTTCGGACAAAATAGTAACGATTGGTTAACACTTCAAACAAAATAGTAACGATTGGTTAACACTTCAAACAAAATAGTAACGATTGGTTAACACTTCAAACAAAATAGTAACGATTGGTTTACACTTCAAACAAAATAGTAACGATTGGCTAACACTTCGGACAAAATAGTAACGATTGGTTAACACTTCAAACAAAATAGTAACGATTGGTTAACACTTCAAACAAAATAGTAACGATTGGTTAACACTTCAAACAAAATAGTAACGATTGGTAAACACTTCAAACAATATAGTAACGATTGGCTAACACTTCAAACAAAATAGTAACGATTGGTTAACACTACAGACAAAATAGTAACGATTGGTTAACACTTCAAACAAAATAGTAACGATTGGTTAACACTTCAAACAAAATAGTAACGATTGGTTAACACTTCAAACAAAATAGTTCTGATAATAGATTCATGAAATTTCTTGGGTGAGGCTGATGGTGAAAACGTTCGTATAGGCGTAGGATTTAGTTCATCTTTAAGTCAATAAGAGACCAGTGCATAGAGCTAGCTTTATATGTGGCGGTGTCGTTCCTCATCACGGCTCCAATAATATTGTCTATGTAATATAGCCTTTCATATGATATTTTTCTGACATCCCGCAGTGACAAGCTCCTCAATAACCAAGAAGTTCGGTCGACACTAATATCGGTAAATTTACGACAAGAGATATTGTTGGAAATTTTTTTAATTACATGTCTGATGTAAATTGTTGAAGATGTCGCTAGTCTGAACATGACATTGGATTCCGACTTCTAGTATGTAAGAGATGCTATAGACTGAGTGACGAGGCGACAGTGACAAGTGGTCAAGGTTAGCCCGCCGCTATATAGTTCTATAGATTGAGTGACGAGGCGATCGTGACAAGTGGCCAAGGTTAGCCTGCCGCTATATAGTTCTATAGACTTAGTGACGAGGCTACAGTGACAAGTGGCCAAGGTTAGTCTGCCGCTATATAGTTCTATAGACTAAGTGAAGAGACTACAGTGACAAGTGGCCAAGGTTAGCCTGCCGCTATATAGTTCTATAGACTGAGTGACGAGGCGACAGTGAAATGCAGCCGCCATATAACTTTAGACACTGAGTGACAAGGTGACAGTGAAATGAGGCCGCCATATAGCTCTAGATACAGAGTGACAAGGTGACAGTGAAATGCGGCCGTGATATATTGTTCTAGTCACTGAGTGACAAGGTGACAGTGAAATGAGGCCGCCATATAGCTCTAGACACAGAGTGACAAGGTGACAGTGAAATACAGCCTCCATATAACTTAAGACACTGAGTGACAAGGTGACAGTAAAATACGGCCGCCATGTAACTCTAGTCACAGAGTGACAAGGTGACAGTGAAATGCGGCCGTGATATATTGTTCTAGTCACTGAGTGACATGGTGACAGTAAAATACGGCCGCCATATAACTCTAGTCACTAAGTGACAAGGTGATAGTGAAATGCGGCCGCAATATAGCTCTAGTCACTGAATGACACGGTAACAGTGAACTGCGGCCGCCATATAGCTCTAGTCACTGAATGTCAAGGTGACAGTGAAATGTGGCCACCATATAGCTCTAGTCACTGAATGACATGGTGACAGTGACATACGGCCGCCATATAGCTCGAGTCACTGAGTGACAGTGAAATGCGGCCGCCATAAAGCTCTAGACATAGAGTGACAAGGTGACAGTGAAATACGGCCGCCATATAGCTCTAGTCACTGAATGACAAGGTGACAGTGAAATACGGCCGCCATATAGCTCTAGACATAGAGTGACAAGGTGACAGTTTAATACGGCCGCCATGTAGCTCTAGTCACTGAGTGACAAGGTGACAGTGAAATACGGCCGCAATAGCTCTAGTCACTGAATGACAAGATGACAGTGAAATGTGGCCGCCATATAACTCTAGACACAGAGTGACAAGGTGACAGTGAAATACGGCCGCAATATAGTTCTAGTCACAGAGTGACAAGGTGACAGTGAAATACGGCCGCCATATAGCTCTAGACATAGAGTGACAAGGTGACAGTTTAATACGGCCGCCATATAGCTCTAGTCACTGAGTGACAAGGTGACAGTGAAATACGGCCGCCATATAACTCTAGACATAGAGTGACAAGGTGACAGTTTAATACGGCCGCCATATAGCTCTAGTCACTGAGTGACAAGGTGACAGTGAAATACGGCCGCCATATAACTCTAGACATAGAGTGACAAGGTGACAGTTTAATACGGCCGCCATATAACTCTAGACACTGAGTGACAAGGTGACAGTAAAATGCGGCCGCCATATAGCTCTAGTCACTGAATGACATGGTGACAGAGACATACGGCCGCCATATAGCTCGAGTCACTGAGTGACAGTGAAATGCGGCCGCCATAAAGCTCTAGACATAGAGTGACAAGGTGACAGTGAAATACGGCCGCCATATAGCTCTAGTCACTGAATGACAAGGTGACAGTGAAATACGGCCGCCATATAGCTCTAGACATAGAGTGACAAGGTGACAGTTTAATACGGCCGCCATGTAGCTCTAGTCACTGAGTGACAAGGTGACAGTGAAATACGGCCGCAATAGCTCTAGTCACTGAATGACAAGATGACAGTGAAATGTGGCCGCCATATAACTCTAGACACAGAGTGACAAGGTGACAGTGAAATACGGCCGCAATATAGTTCTAGTCACAGAGTGACAAGGTGACAGTGAAATACGGCCGCCATATAGCTCTAGACATAGAGTGACAAGGTGACAGTTTAATACGGCCGCCATATAGCTCTAGTCACTGAGTGACAAGGTGACAGTGAAATACGGCCGCCATATAACTCTAGACATAGAGTGACAAGGTGACAGTTTAATACGGCCGCCATATAGCTCTAGTCACTGAGTGACAAGG